CCCCGCCATGGCGCAGTGGTACGTGGAGGTGCAGCGACATGTCCTAGAATTGAATTGATCGTTTAATATCCACCGTTCATACTCTGAGCGTATCGTTGGTACCGACGTATGCGGGATCTCCAAGAATAATTTATTTAATATCTCTCGTCACTGTCGACACACAGCCGTCATGGGACGAAGATCGAGATCAACAATGACGCCTTCCGCGCCCGGGTCCAGTTTCCTGTACATCGCCCGTGACTCTTGCATGACTTGTCCTTCGTTGATCCCCAGGACGTCTTGTTCTTCGACACCACAGTAATAAACACTCCTCTTTTCTGCATCCACTTGAGCCTGACTGCAAGAGAACAACACCGGCTGTCCGAACTGTTCTGTCACTTTGTGTACCCTCCCAAATCGACTACCAGTTGCATGGACATCAGCCATCGGCGCCTTCTTGAGCGTCCCAGAGAACAAGTGCAAGTCATCTAAATAAATATCCACGTCTTTCACTCCACGCTCTGGCGTCTTGCTGTAATTCCAGAGTTTAATCATTGTAGTGAATCCTAGGTATTTCACCTTGGTTTCCCTCATAGTTCAACGGAGACGACCCAAGGGCGCCTGGCAGCTTTGCCATCTTCAGGCGATGGGGTATGCGTGTTTTCCCAGTCGGGCTAGTAAGGTCCGACCCGGGTTTTTAATTAGGAACCAGGCCAACTACATATCATCTTTCTTATAACTTTCCCAGCGAACTTTCTGAGGGACGCCTTAGAAAGAAGCTGATAATTGAGCTCGATCTGGTTACCATCAGACTCGAGACTCATTCTACGATTTACCCGATACAATGCACTTGGCTATAAGTTCCAGCGGGGTGGCTCCCGCTTTGTCGAGTGTTGATTGGTTTTTCGCCCGGGATTTACTACAAAGAATTCTTTAGTGGAAAAAGTGTTTTCTTTGGTACAAGTCCAGCTGCCTGTACCAAGAGACAAGAACAAGTACAAGAGCCTGTTTCTGCCGTCGTGACTGTGGTTTTCTTTTGGCGCGACCGAAGCGAGCCGCTAAGGGCCCAAGGGTTAATCGTGGTTATTTCGGCGTGAGTGGGACTGAACCTCAACAAGTACCAGCCAGGATGCAAGGAGCTGGTGCACCGGTATTTACACCGATCGTAGCACCGGAAATTACAAGTATCTCTCATGAAGCTCTGACTGATTGGACAAACAAGCGCCGTCACTACGAGAGCAAGTTGAGAGCTCGATGCCGCGCTACTGGAGAAAATTATGACAACATAGTCCAGTCCGTTCGCGACTCAATGGATCCTGATTTACTGGATGTACTTTGCGAGCTGAGATTGAACGAGGACGTTGCTAACGTGAATGACGACATGCTGATTGCTGAGTTCGCTCTCATCCTTTCAAGCGTGAAAAATGACACGCTCCCTGACGTCAAGGCATTATTCAGATCCAAACTGAGGATGAACCTGACGGAGAGTGATGTCGACGCCCGTGTGCTGGACTACTTTAACCAGTTCCGGAAGTTAGTGCGCGAGAATGGTCTGGGCGCCTGCTTTGAAGGTGACGGGGGTAACGAGGCAAAGTGCAAGCAACTCGTGGCCTCTCTTCACCCAGCGGCTCTCAAGGAAGAAGTGGAGCAGTGTTTGCAGTATACGCACAAGCAGGCCGCCTCGATTCCAAGACTGTTGTTTGACCTCGTCGTTGAGAAGGCGAAGGAACATGAGCGCCCGTTTCTAAGACAAAGGAATAAGAAACGAGATCGCGATGAAGATCTGCAGAAGAAGAAGAACCCCGAAGGAAAGAAGGAAATCAGGACCGGTGAGAATACGGGGGACTCTTCAAGGAAGGTGGCCAAGACCAATAGTATATCCAAGACCAATAGCATATCCAAGACCAAGACGAAATCGAAGTCGAAGAAGCTACCTCCAAGTCCGTGTCCAAAGTGCAATGAGATGCACTGGCTCAACGAGTGCCCTAATGCAACTGAAGATGAAAAGGTGGAGCTGAGGAAACGCTTGCGTGAGGCGAATGCAGCCAAGCGTACAAGGGACCAAGCGCCTTGGTGAGTTTCTACCGACTCCATCTCGTGCTGTTATGGTGAATGGAGTACTGGAGATTCCGTACTGCGCTGACAGTGGCTCTGACCATACCGTGATGGGCCGCTCTCACTGGAATCAACTCCGGGCTCTGGACCCAAGTGTTCAAGCTGAAGAACTTACTGTCCCTGTTCAGAACCAGACGTTTGGGTCTATGTTGGTGACTGCCGATAAGAAGGCCAAACTCCATTTAATGATTCGCATTGCGGCTGGGCAGGTTAAACCGATGAAGGCTGTGGATGTGTTGATTGTCGATATGGATGACGACGAGTTCATACTTGGCAATGATGTACTAAGAATGCTTGGGATTGATGTGGAGCGTCAACTGGAGCAACTAGCTGACCTAAATGTGGATGAAACAAGTGGCGATCCTGTTGAACTGGAAGCCGACGAATCTCCGGTCCGAATTGGAGAACCTCAATCTGAGAATGAGGACGTATTTGCTGCAGTTGAACGGTTGGTTGAGCAAGCAGTCGAGAACGGATTCCCAGCAGACAAGCTCGATCGATTTCGTACTATCATCCATGTCTACGATGTATGGCGTTTGACTCTGCAGGATGACCCACCAGCACGTGTGCCACCTCTGGAGATACGACTACGGGAAGGGGCTCGTCCAACAAGGTGTAAGCCTCGACGGTATCCCCCTCACATTCGCAAATTTCTTCACGATTTCAACTCTCGTTTGGTAAAACTAGGACTCGTTTACGAGAATTCGGAAAGTCGATGGGCGAGTCCCGTTCTTCCTGTCAAGAAGTCAGCGGACCTTATGGATCTTCGGCAAACCACAGACTATCGTGAGTTGAACGCATTGACTGAAGTCATGGCAGCAGTTATGCCGATTTTATCCGTGGTGATGGAGAACGCGAAGGGAATGAAACATTTCGGACTCTTTGATTTTTTGAAGGGCTTTTGGCAGCTTCCGTTGGCTCTAATGTGTCAAGAATTGCTTTCATACATGACCGATGAGAAGGTTTTTACCCCTCGCAGAGTACCTCAGGGTAGTAGTGATGCTGCGATATTCTTTCAGAAGACCATGGAGAATTGCTTTGCCAGTCTACTGTACGACCATTTACTGATTTGGATCGACGACTTACTCCTTTATGCCAAGGATATTGATGTATATTTGGACAAGTTGGAAGAAATGCTGTCACTAATGGACCACTTTGGCTTAAAGCTGAGTGCAAAGAAAACGAGCTTGTACCAGACTGAGGTCAAGTGGTGCGGCAGGATCATAAGTGGTGAAGGCATCAGACATGACCCAAACCGAATTGACTCGCTACGTGCTTTGCCATACCCACGTACTGCCGGAGAGCTTCAGCAATTTGTCTGTGCGGTCAATTGGATGCGTCAAAGCATTATTGATTTTGCAAGGCAGATTGCCCCTTTACAACAAAAACTTGACGCGGCTCTCACGAAAACCAAGAGGACCAAGAGGGCGGCTTCTGGCATTAACATTGAGCTGAGCAGTGATGAACGAGTGGCATTTGACCGGATTAAGGATTCGATCGCCAAAGCTGCTACTCTCGATTTTCCTGATGACAACGCTACCACATGTCTCTTCACGGATGCCTCGAACGTTGGATACGCCGCTATTGTGACTCAAGTTGTGGACTTCGACCCTCAGAAGCCTGCTACAGAGCAACAACATCGGCTCATTCACTGCACAAGTGGAACGTTTGCCGGTAGCCAGCTAAACTGGACTGTCATCGAGAAAGAGGCATTCCCCATTATCGTTGCCTGTGATAAACTGGATTACTTGCTACTAAGGCCAAAACCCTTTCGGATGTATTGTGATCATCGTAACCTGATTCACATCTTCGCACCGGACGTTTCGATCAAGAAACATATTAAAGGGAAACTTTTAAGATGGTCCATGAAGCTAATGAACTACCAGTATGTAGTGGAGCATGTACCGGGATCTGATAATGTATGGGCCGATATGATTTCCCGCTGGGCTAGTAGCCATTCGCCAACTGTGAAACGACTGAAGGTTGCTCGGGCTTGCCCAAGCCAAAGGACTGAGACTGTGTCTGCTTTGCGCCCTCTGGATGATGATCGTTTTGTGTGGCCTACACTGGTGGAACTCAAGGAAATACAAGCCAAGAACTCGGCTCCTGTTCACGCTAATCGAAATGATGATGGTCTCGTGACCCTAGAGGACAAGCTGTGGATCCCATATGAAGAAAAAGAGTTACTTCAGCGGCTGTGCATCATTGCGCACTGTGGCGCTCAAGGGCACCGCGGCCAACAAGCCATGATTGCACACCTGGGACGGCTTTTCGCTATCGAGCACCTCTCCGATGTGGTCGCAAATTTCGTTAAGAAGTGTCTGCTTTGTCTGCATTCAAGAGGGGGAAAGATTATCCCACGTCCGTGGAGCGAGGTGATTGAGTGTCGTACACGTAATGGTGTTTTTCATTTTGACTTTCTTTACATGGGTGAAAGCTTTGGAGGCAGTAAATATCTTTTGGTTATGAAGGATCAGGCCACACATTACTGCGAATTGGTTGTTGCAGACTCAGCCGAAAGAAGTGTTGTGGCTGAAGCTTTACTGTATTGGCACTCACGATTCGGTGTTCCTCCTGGGTGGGTGTCTGATTGTGGAACCCATTTCAAGAACGAGATTGTCGCCGAGCTGAGTCGCCGTCTCCGGTCGAAGCAGTCATTCACACTTGCGTATAGTCCGTGGGTTAACGGATCAGTTGAACGTGTGAACCGGGATGTACTACAAGTGGTGAGAGCAATGATTTTAACATACAAAATTGGATACAAAGACTAGGTCTACTTGGTTCCGATGGTGCAAGCCAATTTGAACCATACAGCACTCCCATCTCTTGGGAATCGAGCGCCAGTCGAGCTGTTCACTGGACTGCCACGGCCTACACCCCTCTGTGAATTTTATCTACCAGTGAAAAACAAGTTACAGCAGATTCCACAGAGCGAGCAGATAGACAACTACCTAAATCGGGTTGAGAAGCAGCTTACAGAAGATGCATGAGGTGGTTGAAGACAAAAGACTGAAGCAAAGACTTTTGAGCAAGAAGCGCGAACGAGGAGAGAATCTCGTAAACTCTCACGTTGGAGATTACGTCTTGCGATCCCAACGGATTGAGAACGTGGAAACAAAACTTCCAAGTGAA